AAAGCATAGAGAAACATCATTAATAAAATATTCGCAAACTTATCTATACTAATATTATAAAGAGGTAAAATTTGTAAGTTTGTATGTTTGTAAGTTTGCATGTAGGGGGTAATCTTTGGAACCGTTGTTGGTCGGATTTCCAAAATTCTTTCACTGATAGATAGCTACAATATTCCTGAGTGCTATAGGCTATAAAACATCACGCTTCGATTAAATGCAGCCGAGCAGGGTGAAACCGCACGAGAGTAGCTAGTTAAAAAATAAATAAGTGTCGTAAGCCGTGTTCCTTAAACATTTTCCAAGAAGTATCCACCAGTACCTATAATATTTAAAAATGATTTCAAAATAAAATAAAATAGGAACCAATATTATTTATAAGTATTTTATTTTTCCGATCAGTTACTGAATGCCTATTCTTACAATATTAATTTTTCTCTGATGAAACCTTATGAGGAAAAATGTGATCATAAATTTTAACATTTTCTTGGAACATGAAAAATGAATAACTTAATTGGTGTCCATAAAATCAATCTAAATATAGACATCGGAAAAAGATTTTGATTAGGTATACCTATATAATAATATGGCCCGGATCAAAAAGCAAAATAAAGTATTAAGTAGATATATCTTTATGGCCATAAACTGTTTTTTTTATTGCATGTAATAATTACAGTAATCGTATGATCGAGTATCCTAAATCTTTGTCTAGATAATCGTGTTGCTAAGTGAAATCGATTGCAATAGATAAAGACTCAAAGATTATTTTTAATAGCCAGTTCAACGATTTACAAGAACTTTTATATCTACATAACCTCTATATACAAAGGCAATACGTTCAAAAAATGATAAGTGTGTAAGAAATCTGTAATCAAGCAAATTATTAAGCCAACTTAAAGTAGCATTCCAATTCCTGTTTACGTATTTTAACTAACGTAAATCCAGTCTACTCAATGGACTCCTAGGAGATTTATCATATAAGAACAGAATCAGTATCATAATCTTGAATGTGAAACAATCAGTGACATTTCACTTACAAGATTGAAATATTAGTTTAACTTATGTCTTTGACTGCCGACAAATAAGGTTGAAGTCAAATCCTCCGCTGCCGCCGCTAGCATCGGTAACTATTGTCCAACACGTATTTTGCACGTATTGTACCAAGTTGTTTTACTTAATGTCATAGACATCTTTGCTTTGCTTTCAGGTGGTGCACGATAATTTATATGAAAGGTAAAAACGAAAGTATAAATGTAAATACATATATGAAATACAGCAATATTTATATAAGTACTAGATGAACCGGCAAACTTCGTGCTCCTAATATAGAAAACATTTCAATTAGTTTTTTTTTCTGACCCTTTAAACCTTCCCTGTATATCCAGGATTATTTTAAAACCACAATAAGATCTTTCTCGAGTTTTAGCGAGACTAACGACAGCAATTCATTTTTATGTATAAGAAAGGAAGATAATGATATATCTACTTATAATGCGACGCGACGTTTATAAATTATCACGAAGTAAATAGATAAAAATTGTATTTAAAAATCTTTTGGTTATTTACATATAAAAAAATTGTTTCATGCAAAGCGCATGAAGGTATTACCTATGGTAAGGTACCAAATCTATAAATATATTAATAAAAAAGGTTGCATATAGCATCCAACTCTCTAAGGCATACAAAGTGAATCTTTGTCGAAAACCCTTCCCCAAATTATTTTTGGGTTCGGCTGTTATGAAGCGACGCGAGGATTTGGCCCCGGTGGGTTATGAGCTTGTCTCAAGTAAATGCGTATAAAAAAGGAATTTCACTCATCGTTCTTGTGCTCTGCGAAGGTTGACGTTAAGAAGTGCTCCCAAGAATTCCGTCGTGAAATATTACCGAAGATATTCGCACGAATACCCCATGTGTGGAAGTGCTTGAAGAATTTTGATACATTTATGAATTGATTATTTTGAACCAGCATTTTACTTTTTAAACAGTAGACCTCTTTGAATATATTCTACGTAAATGTTTTAAGATCTGAACTGGAACGCTCACCTTGTAAAAAGCGACATTGCCCAGGAAAATGTCACTTTTTCTTATAATTCAAATTTCAAATCCCAGTTCGATATTTGAATTTTGAATCAATTAGTAAAGCAGACTGACACAGTGTTGCACGTTCGGAAATGAATCAATTAATGATTAAAATTATAAAAAATATTTTTATTTGTAGATTTGTGTAAACAATGTTAATAATTAATTAATGATTATAAATACGTACTTAGTTGTGGAAAGTGATAAAATTAATGACAACATTAATGACAAATTGTGAGCCATTCTTCGGCACGAATGGGTCGGCTCGACCGAATTGATACCACGGCCTAACACAAAAACCACAGACCAATTCTTTTCCCCCAATCCCAAAATCTCGAAATCCCTAATCACCATAAGGTCGGCAACTCACTCGTAACTCTTCCGTTGTTGCATTCCATCAGGTAATCCGTTTGCTCGTTTACCGACCTATCACACAAAAAAACAATTGCTTGACTTTCATAAATACTTTTGTGAACAATGTCCTTTTTTATAACAATATAATTGTTTTATAGCGTTTGTCTTCAATAAGATTTTAAGTGGATTAAGGTTATAAACAATGTAATGTGCTGTTTATATACATATACTTATATATCTGTCTACCACAACGTACAATGTCCGTGTATGCTTATATATTAATAAAAAATCTTCCAGGTATCATATTTGCTTTAAAGTATTTACTATCTATAATTTTATTATATTTAATCTATAATTTATTTACCATCATTGTATAAGTGCGTAACAATATTCCATTTTATTAGGTATTTTTGAAATACTTAATACATGTAATAAGTAGGGGAGAGTCGGGTAGCCACGGACACATAAACAAAACTCAAATTATTTTTTAAATGAACATTATTAGACATTTATTTAGAATCAAATCATTAAATAAAATATATATAAAATGTTTTAGTACAAGTAACGATCAGATAATTCCTTAATCTTAACTGTAATCAAGTCTACCTAATAAACAGTATTGTATTTTTAACAATATTTTTTTTGGCGGGTAGCCCCGGACGTCATTTATTGGTGATAATCAAGTTGCTTTAAGGCTTTTCAGAAGTCACAAAAATAGTAAACCTGTGAAGGATCAATATCTACGCATGCTTCATGCTCCCAGTCTTTGCATTTCTGACATTGTATCCAATCTACTCCAAAGGTTTCTCCACAATTAATGCACTCGGTATCTTGGTCTCTTGACAGTTCTTGGATGTTCCGTTTGGTTTTCATTTTATTTTTCCCTTTCCCTTAGCCCTCTTTACAGTCTCTGCCGCTTGAAATTCGTTACCTTATATTGTGTGTGTTTTTTAATAAAGATTATTTAAATGGAGAAGATGAGAGAATTTCGCTCTTTTGAGTTTTTCGTGAACGCGTCTTCGAATCTCCCTAGTTTTGGAACCAAGTTAACCTCTTGTCGAATATTAAGTGCTATTATTCGATTCCGAAGAGTACTCGGCACCTGACACCTGCCATCTGCTTCTCCCAAAGAATAGTTCTTTTCTTTAACACTTGTATAGCCTGTTTCATTTTATCTGCATTCCAATTCCTTCGTTTAGTGACTCTTTCCTCAAATTTTGGCACTTTCCAGAGCTTCTGCATAAAATAAATAGCCTATATTTACACTTCCTATCATAAAAACATCTGTAATATCAAAAAACGCGATAAAAATATTTAAATACAGATTTTACTTAAGCTCAAAAAGTGTCCGTGGATACCCGACAAAATTGTGTCCGGTTTTACCCGACAGTCTCGAGCCAATATTTTATTTATTTTTAAAAATACTATAAATCCCATTGACATAGAAAAACATATCCTTTTAACTGTGACGATTACTACATAGAAAAATGTATAAATCACGCTTATGTACTTATATTCAATATCTATAAACTGTATTTAAAAAGTAAACGGCGTAAGAAAAAATGTTCGGTGATGAAAACAATCAGTTGTCATTTATTGTCTGCTCGACGAAGGTGGCACTACTGCGGCGAATATTCAACTAAGCGATGCTCCGAATGTTTTGATGTTTCCACTTTTTGTCTATATATGCCTGCTTGCCTAGGATAGTCAGTGGCCGGGGCTACCCGCCGGCCGGGGCTACCCGACTCTCCCCTATATGGTTTGGCATCTCAAGAGAACCATGTAATTTAAAGTCAAAATAACAAAGAAAAATAGCTGCATTTGTGACAACCCTATATTCCCCATATGTCCAACGGATCTGTGACCGAATACGATGAATTTAAAGAAATCTCCGAAATACTTTGACCACGTAAATAAGTAGCTACTATACGCGTAATACTAAGCTGTAATAATATTGTTTACTAATACCATTCACGTGCATAATTACAGATTATTCGGATACATAACATTGGTATTTAATACCTAAGCATGTAGGTACACAATACATTACTAGCCATACAGTTGAAGCTCGTAACGTTGCTGTATTAATTAATTCCCATCTTAACCTTCATTCCTATTAACCTCAATCAAACATAATAATTTCGTCCAAGTATCTTATGACGCGATTTAATTTTAGAAATTCCTTTTGGTCTATCGCATATAGACGGGATAATAATAAAACATTAATTTACACTGTAAAACAAATTGGAAAATAAAACATTTGAAAGCAGAACTTTGCTTAACATGTTTGAACTTACTACAAATTACTATAAACATGGAAATTCTTAGACAAATGTTTGCCTCTGCATTGCATGACTGTTATCTTACTCTGAGGTATTCCATCCAAAGGTTGTTTGTAAAAATTATTCATAACATTTAATGTATACAGTTCACCACACATGAGCGATTGTACTTTGGACGTAAGATAGTGAACGTGGGACGAACAAACTTTACTGATTGACTGTACTGTGTTTTGTGTTCCTTCTATGACTATTACTGGTAAAATGATTTTTTTTTTCTTTTGTCAACAGCTGGTGTAGCGATCATGGTGTGTGCTGGTACAGCCGCGACGCGCTGGTCTCGTCGCGATTGGCCTCTCGCAAACAATCCAGTCTGGGAAGTCTACAAGCTACTCTGGAGAATATTCGAACCAATGCTCTTCGCCCTTAGCGGGTATTTCTTAGATGTACATATCGCTTTTTATTTGCCCTACTAAATTATAAATACATTAACAGCTTAGTACACTACGTGAGCCTTTCCTATCACACGTCATTTAGCTTTGTTCCAAGTTACCCGCATTCAATTCTTAGCTATGAAGTTCAATCTTCCAAATGGGCTTTTAAACTGCGTATCGCTTTATCACCTCATAAAAAGCAATGCTAAAAACCAACAGCTCAAATCAGCTCATTTGAGCGTTTATTTTAAAAAAACTCATCTATAATAGTATGCTTAATAAGGTAAATTACGTAATAAGTAGGATTGAATCATATCGATAGTAAAGTCTTCTCTGTTGTCTTTAGTTCTTGAGGATGCAAAAGGAATGGTGAATAACATGAAATTTCTGTAATTTCAACAGTTTGAATTTAAAACCGAAAAAAATAAATATCTTATTATCTACATATATTATGCAGTCAGTATATACATTACATTAACATAATGATGATGTTAAATCGGTCTATTTATTAAACTTTTTAGTAAAAAATACTGACTGAAAATCAGTCACTGAATGAAAAACAGTTTTTATGTTCGTTGTCCATTTTGAAGTCATACCACCTTCATATAGGCAATTATGTTTTACAACCTATATGAATTCCGTAACTACTTCCAAATAATTCTTTCATCATTGAAAATTAAAAATATTGGCGATGCAAAGATTCTAACTAGCGCCTCTAGTGTCAAAATTGTGAAGCTATCTAAGAACGACACTGACAGTTTTCCTAACAAAGAACGTCAGGGAAAAAATAAATTATTCATAAAAATTTAAGTGGCATTTTGCTGATTAAGGGCTGATTTTTCAATAGTCAGATAAATGTTATCTGAGTAATAAAAGAGTCTTCCTTTCTTTTAGGAATAAATGAAAACCTATTCCCGTATCTCCGTAAGCTCTAAGTACATTGAGGAACGCAACCATATTTCATATTTCTGCTTTATCAGCATCAGGTTTCCGGATAATCGTGATCCATCTGAAGAATCTAAAATACTTCACAAATACAACAACAAAAAAATACAACAGAATCTCAAACAAACAAACAAAGTGTCGTTCTTAGACAGTTTCTAAATTTCGCTAGAGGCGTGCAAATAATCTTTGCATCACCAATAGTATTTAGACGCATTTAAGTAGTCAACCAGACATTATTAATATTAGTATTTGAGTTATGAATAATAACAATGATTGCTTAAATTTAAATATTAAATAGTAATGCTCTACTACAACAATAAAGCAATTAATACAAATATTTAAATGGAAAAGAAGTTTGCAACCTCTTTAAAATGTCAGCCACAATGTACAAGAGGTAATAAAAAAATAAAGTTCTAAATTTAAACACCTCACAGGCGCGAATTTGACAAGCTTTCGCGCAGCCCGGTCCAGTGGCTGGAGTAAGATAAAATAATTTAAGTGTGAATTTCTTTTAGATATCACAAATAAATGTGAAGGAGCTGTGCCTGATCCTGGGATGCATCTCCTCAGCACTAGTGCTCCGGCTGCTGACAGCTTTTCTCGTCGCACTAGCTAACGAGCTGTCGATCAAGGAGAGTCTTTTTATCGCCGTCACTTGGATACCTAAAGCTATTGTGGAGGTACGCCATTTATTTTCTCCTAGTATTGTTTGAGGTAAAATGGTACCAGGGTATTCAGGTAAGACATTGTCTGAACATCACTGATTGTTGTAAGATTGACAGGTTTGCATTTGTTTGATATCATTGTTAAAATTTTCTTTTATTGATACTGATTTATTTTTTGTTATGGCTAGCAATCGTTCTCTTTTTAAATTCCGTTTTATAAATTGGTTTGGGTAGGTACACCTAATAAGCACTCCTTGGGTTTAGGTAGGTACTTTATCGTTTCTGTTCGAATCAGCATTTCTAAATTTAAAAATATATTACTTAACAACAAATTTTATCGTCTATGATCTTTTATAAAATCAAACGTCCCTTCTAAATTAAATTTAGAACGAATCCACATTTCGGTTATATTCTTTTTATATTCCTTATAAAAAATGTGCGGTAATTGATTTTATGAAATACCTTAATATTAAATAAAGATTTCATATAAAGATAAAATATAAAATTTGTTTTTGGTTACCTATTAAAAGCACTCCGTTTTTTGTAGGTACAATAAAAAATTGCGAGCGTAAATCTATATAGGTAGATATTGGCTGTCAGTCAACAATTTAAATATTTGCCATATAAATATGTATGAAAATTTCTCTGCGTTATTTAGAAGGGGTTTTTCGATAGCTGTATTAATTACTACACTCCATCATCATCCATCATCAGTCAAACGTTGTGACCTTGAGTTAGTAACTACTTCCTATTTCTTCACTCACGTGCTCCGAAAAATGCCGTGAATTCTTTAGGTCGTATTTGTAAGTGGATAAGGAGGATAATTAAAATGATTTTGTTTTAAAAACCTAAGTGTAATGTCTTGATTAATTAAGAATGCGAAAAACAACGACAGATGTATAAGCAAAATTACATATGTTATAATGTTATAGAGTTCTGTAAACAATCAACATATCCTTATAAGAACCATACAAAATAAAAATCAAATAAAATGAATCAACACTTCTCATAAAATCAAAGCAAAATAATTAAGTCTTACTTGCGAAAGTTCGTGTAAAGTTAAATAATACTTGAAAAATCAACTAATACGTAATACGTATACGTAAGCACTACACAGATACAATAAAAATATCAATTTAAAATTCAGTCCACAGAGTTCTAGAAAAATTCCATAGAGATACATCTCTTTTTTTTGAAAAACTAAGGCACAAAGAAAATACTTCAACCGTATTAAAGTAACAAACATTTAATAGCATAAATTAATAAACTAAACGAGCGAGTAATTTGTTATAGATCAAAACATAAATATTAATATTTATAATTTACTAAAAGCTTTCCACTTTCACTTGACTTCTTAGACAATTTATGCAACTTTTGAATTACTAATAAATTAATGAAACTTTCCAAGGTGATCAATATTTCGCAGAATGTCTGAATAGGCTAAATGATAAGAAATTTCAAAAGTGAAATAAATAATAGGTAAAGATAAGTAACGCTTAGCGAAGTACTCCTTATCTTTGGTTAATATTTAATGCTTTAATTATTAGGGCATTGAGTTCATATTTGAAGGGCAAATAGTAATAGACCCAAGTTCACAAAGATTTAACCGTTGGCCTGTGTAAATAGTCAGCCCTTCTGTTAATGGCCAGCGACGGTTCAGCAAACGAGTTTGATCATAAAATTAAACAAGCCGAAACTACAAATTACCGATCGTCTTTGAAATGTATATATGTGCCATGTCTAGAATTTAGCTCTGGATAAACCACGGACTTAGTATCCGTGGTTTAACCACAAATGGCATGCTTTTGTGGTAAGTATAAGTAACTTACCATAAAATCCAATTAATTAAATATAAAAGTACTTACAATGTTATAAACTTGCGACAAAAACAATTACTGTTGTTTTACTAACGTCGTGGTGGCCAGAAGTTAAAGCCGCTTCTCAAGCATGAGGTTGCTAGTTCAGACCTGGTATGTGTCCATGTGACTTTTTCCGAATCATATGTAGATAGGCACCTTGTTAAGCTATTTACGGTGTGTTGGAATTATAATGTGTAATCGTAAGTTTTACATCATTGATTCCCATTACGCTAGCGGGATAATAAATACTCAAACTTTTTCTGTGTGTAGACACATATTGGCTACGATGATATCATTAAAAAAACGTCATTACGCCAATCATTCTTCAATCATTTTTAATATTTTTGAATCCGTTAAGTTATATACTTACTGTTGCACTGCAAAGGAACTTTAAACTTTAAATTTTAGATATAAGAACTTATTTTCCGTGCACCAGCTGAAATGCATTTTAATTACCCTTTACTTAACAAAGAGGACCAAGGTCTATATTTGTCAAAGCTTTGATGTAAACAAGCCTGAAATTACTGGACTAGTGCCGGGAGGACTCAAAGTGAATTAAGCTGGACTCTGTCACTCGAGTGTCGGTGTAGTTTCTACTTGTTAATGAAAAGATCACTTTAAAGTTGTGTAAGTAGTTGAGTTCGAAGGCTAGTGGCGCTGGTCGAGGCCACTTTGAGCGTCCCAACGCACCCACACTCTAGTCATTAATTGCCGTCTCAATAAAAGTCTATGAAGAAGAAAAAACGTGAATAAATAGATAAAAATGAATAAAAACTTAATAAAAGTATCTATTATCATTCTGTAACCGATTTACTTTTTTTATAACTTTATTTATAAATATACCAAACTCTAAAACAATCAAAGCACAAAAATAAATAGCTTAGGCATACAATTTTGTCACACGGATATCAAAAACAGCGTAAAGTCATCAACGATGGATATTGCCGCGTTAACCGATGAAATTTTTTTTATAGCAATTTGTGTCAGTCAATGTAAATTGATGCAATGACATTTTATCTGAACAATTGCAACGAATACAAGTGTACCTTCATTGTGCATAATATGTAGTTCATGGAAAAATATGCGACATTGCAAGGAAAAAGTATTTTCTTAATTAAGTAAGTACCTGTCTTGCAAGAGCACCTGTATGCTTGTTCAATTAATTATTATCTCTGAACGTCTTCGTTTATCATAAGTAATAACCCAAAAGCCCAGAGGCCCGCTACCATAATGAAAATGAATGATTTACGATTTACATCAAACAATCGAGAATCGTATTTCCATTTAGTCGATCATAAGTCGCTAGATATCATTAACTCGACTGCCGACTGCGAAGCGAGATAGTCGATTCAATGCCGACAATACTCGTATTGTTCTTGTGAAAAAACCTTTGCTTTTACTATTCAGACTCATTGCGAATCGGTAGAAAGTTTCCATTGTGTTAAATCAAGTAACGATTTTGTTTACACTCGGTGTATTCGTATTTTGAGCTTCGTTTATTTTTGGAGACAGTTCGTAAATTAGGGTTGTAATTAATGATTCGCCATTTTAAACATTTCATTGTAAGCAAAATTTTACTTAAATAAGTAAGTTGCGTTTATTCAAGACTTGAGTATTTGTACTAGAGAAATCGTATCTACTGATTCACTACCATAATCTTAGATATTTCTATTTCTTTACGATGTATAAATTATAATACTTAGTAAATATTATGTAATGTGAACATAAAAAAAAGGAAACAGTTCACGCAACTAACTTAAATTACAACTTAAACATGGGAAGAAATGATTCATTTTCCATTGAAGACGCGGAAGCAAAAATTCATGTTATATGGAGGAGAGTATACGTACAGATACAGAGCATAATTTAGTAGGAAGTTAAACAATTTATGTAGGTACCTTAAGGGTCCAACCACTCGCAATAAATGGCTGAAGGTGAAAGCCACTTACTGACTAACTGACTGACTTATAACCTTATCTTTGCAACCTCAGCCCTTACATCTTTGGACTTGACAGAATTATGTGGCCCACTGCCATACCATAGCCTCATAGAAGGTAAGTTCCAACTACTAACAAGTTATCCTCATGGCGAACGAAATATATAGAACACATTCATTTTCTTAATTGCCTAAGAGAATCGTACTTACTTACTTACCTAGACGTAAAACTCTGATATCGATTCCTGGGGTCAATAAATTGTTTTGCTGGTGGTCGCAAGAGCCCCCAGTATTTGATTAAAATCTATATTAAAGGTCGCTTTCCTCATGAGACACCATAGAAAACATACTATAACAGAATAGTTTAAAAATGCTTTATTTAATTTTCCATTATTTTACACCTCCTGTATATCTAGTGCCTTTTACATAACATCTCATTTTCGCAATAATAAATTCCTGACATATTTTTATTATTTAACTTTGTTAAGATGATAAATTATATTTATCTAAAATAGTACAATTTCACTTGATATCGTTAATGTCCTTTTCACGGAAGTTCATTCTACAAAATGTCCTAAAAATCGGAGAAATGATCGCTTAGCGATCGGATCCTATTTCTTATAAATATCCGCTAAATGTCCTTCCATTCGATATTATATTGTACGAACAGATATACACATTATACAATGGTCGTTTCTTTTATGGTTACCTATTGTAACCTACGCAATATTGGTGATTGTGCGATTTTTTCTACGCATTTTACAATAGGAACTTACTTTCTGATTAAAGATTTCTAAACACCATATCCGCATGTACATATTTATTTACTACTCAGTGAGTATATCAGGGATTTTAAATAGATTTTAACAAAAGTAGAATATTCTTTATTCAAATTGTAAAGAAACTTTTTTTTTAATTGCGATAGAACAATACTTCATAATAATACTTCATAATAATACTTAATAATTTATCATAATCGACATTAGTAGTACCTACCTACTAAAAAAAGTAGCAAATAAAATAAAAATTACGCTATGTAGTAAATTCTACGCTGGAGAATACACAACATATCTACATAGAATATTGAATATAAAGACGGTAGTACATAGATGGCACATGTAATATTCGAAAATGTCATTTGAACGCCGCCAGCTTTGACGTGCTAGAGCCGAGTCTATAACTCGATAGCTACGTAATTGATTTTACGGTACCGGAGTAAACTACACACAGTTCGAAAGCTGGCCAACGTCTTCGCACAAAGCCCATTCTGTGGTCGAGTTGACCCGTCGGTTAATCGTCGTTTACGATTTAATCGGTCGTGCCCCCGGACAAGTTATCGCAAACCGTCATACGCCGTAATAGCATGTGGTTGTATAATTACTTGATTGGAACCGCAGCTGAGCGGTACTGATTGATCTAGTATCAGAATACAGAGCCCTTGGGACTTCATTTCCGTATGCACACGTATTAATATATCATTTGTAGAATGCTAGATACGTTGAGTTGATGCATGGTTCTTACAGTGTTCATAAGTTATAGTAACATTGACAAGAAAACCACGCCTTAAAACAAAACAATTGGTTGAAATTATGCAGAGCTAGGTAATAATAAATTTCTACAAGAGCACATTAATTAACTATAATCTGTGTTAGGGAATGCTTCGGCCCACTGAATTGCAACATTAAAACACAGTTAACTAATTACATTATACTAATTAAGAATCTTTTTATAATCCTTGGAGTACGAACCTTAGGCTCTAATAATGCGAAGATGATAATTAAAAAGTCATTAAATAAAAACATTAATTTCAGGCTGTCCTCGTGCGGGTTGCAATGGATTCCCTGTGGGTGGACGCGACCTCAAAAGACAGACGGATAGCTTCGCAGCATTCAAATATCATCGTTATTGCAATACTAATAACGTCTACTTTGGGATCTGCGCTAACATCGGCATTGGGTCCTGTCCTACTCTCACACGATTCCAGGGTCGCCCCTGAAGGTAAGGTTTATTTTACATTGAATATGCATGACATTTCTAATATATGTATAACTGTTCACTAACAAAAAAAATGTAATAACTTTTATTCTAATTCATTTTATGAAAGTTACTTAAGCTTTTAAATCAAAATATGACTGATTCGGCCCATCTGAAATACTACAATTACTAACTGCGACATTCCACGTCAATTTTAGAGCAATGAAAGCAATTTGTTGTCTAACATTAAAACAAATACTTACATAATGGAAGTAGTCACGACTTCAAACCCCTATTGCGACCGCTAAACAAACTACAATCATAAACTATAGAACTCGCATCTTATGTTAAGCTATAACAGTTTCCAAGCAAATATTTATTCTGGAAAATTCCAAGTTGTATTGCAGCTATAGGCAATTTTACCGTGTTACGGCTTTGCACGACGACTATGTGATCAAAGGTCGTTTTTACGGAAATATTAATGCTTGTAATCTGATTTGGCATTCGAGTGCAGCGCACTGAAATATGCGCAGAGAAAACAGGGCAATAAATAGATAAATCAAGTTGATTTTTCATACGAAATAAAAAAAGCTTGTCATAAAATCTAATTCTTATGTTCCGATTTTCCTAGCACATGTTCATTATATTGTTAGCCTATAATATATAAACTACTGCTGAGCAAAGGCCTCCGCTCACATGCAGGAACTTGCTCAAACTTATAATTAGAAATTATAAGTCCAGGTTTCGTCACACTCAGCCGGGGTGGCGAGGCAAGCGCACTAAGTCGCCGCGGCCTCGACCAAAAGCTGGAGAAGTAACGGGGGTTTGTAGTCAGTAACAATCTGACTCTCTCTCGCCTTACCCTAAGCTTAAGATGTCATTTGATTATTTTCCACTGAAAAAAAAAGGTTTCATCACGCTCAGCCGAGGTTGCAGGGCAAGTGCAATAAGTGACCGCGGCCTCGGCCTAAAGCACAAGAAGGAACGGAAGGGTTTTAAGTCAGTAAGACACTCCCTCTTGCCCCACTCTCGGCGGGGAAGTCTTTTGATGGTTTTCCCCTCACAAAAATAAATCGTCACGCGGTTAACCTTCATCATTTGTCAATGGTGTCTAAAGACAGTTAGAAAGTATATATAACTTGGAAAATGTCACATTGATACTTGCCTCGTGCATAAGAAGCGGGTGCCAATGTTCTCACGTATCGCATAATCGTCAAATTCAATGCAGACACAAATGCTCATATGATCGTCCCGAGATAAATGCAATATCAGACAATCTCATATCTAAGCATTAATAAAGTTCACAAAATCACCTTGTACTTCATGCATAAAGATTAAATTAAATCCTCAAAGTCGTTATCCTTGTTATCTTGAAGATTACTTTGTTGTCCAATCAATTAAGATACAGTATAATTTAAAGTGATGAGTATAAATTTTCTAAAAATATTTTATGAGTCTATTTCGTCACATGATGTATGATAAGATGTTGATAGGATAGACAAAAACTGTTGTGATAAGGGTTTTGTATTGTTCCAAGGAAATATGTGAACCGGCGTGAAACAACCACAGCATTGTGTTTCTCCATGTCTGTAAGGTTACCGGAGGGCGCCAATCCTTCCCCTCCTAACTTCCGAAACCCTAATCCCTAAAAGGTCGGCAACGCACTTTTAACTGCTCTGGCGTTGCAGGTGACGTCATGGGGTCGCCAATTGCTTTCCTTCAGACAATCCGCCTGCTCGTGTACCGACTTATCACAATAAAAATTATAGAAGTTTTATATCAACAAGAAACATGCAACTTCTTACTGGTTTTTAAAAGTACAATTTTAAAGTAAATCAAAAAAATGACAAATTGTTATTCAAATAATGGACATGTACGATTACACAAAGCAATCAATTCATTCACTTCGCTGGTAGTCGACCTCTTTTTTAATGATCATGTTGAGATTTTTTATCTCTTCTACTAAGTGCGCTGCCGTGCTTCCATGACCGTAACCTTCCTTTGATAAAAAAACGATATGAATAAACAGTTGTATAACATAAATTGACCCAAATTTCGTACACTATTTAATAGTACTAAGAAATAAAAATAAAGAATTGAATAAAAATACTTATATAAGCCACTAAACGTTAGTAAGTTTATCACGTGCAAAAAAAAAACAAAAGTGGCAATCCAAACTATCTAAACGTATAAAATTTATAAAATAACCAAAACTAATAAACGAATAAACCAAATAATTGTTTATATGTAATTTTAAACAATTATCAGTTTATTCTTATCATTATACATTTGCTGCAAAAAAAGACACTTTAAAAATATGCATTAAACCTAATAGAAAAAGAATCTGCTAAGGAAAGAATAAAAAATAACAATGAATTATGGAGTTTTCGCCATTCAAATGCAGTCAAATGAAAGACATAGTGATACTCTAACTACTCTTTCTTTTTAACCGCAACTTATCTGCTTTCTTTTTGTAACTAATTTGTTTTTAATTAATACTAACGTTGATGGAATTGGAATTTTCAATACAGAAAATTTTAATTGATATTCGCCAAGGACAGTGCATAAAATAAATGTCAGTTGTTTAACACTCTAATTAGTAGGTTCCCTGTGTTGATGGTTTACTAATCAAAATATTGTGAATATATTAGTGTATATAGCATTACGAAAGTGAAATACTGTAGTTCCAGAGTAGAGAGAATATCTGAATAATATTATTAAATAATGAAAATTATAATAAAGTAACATAGAATAAGTACCTCGTTAATTTTGTGAACGGTTGCGACCGTCTCAAGTGTGACTGCGATTCTGGATTCTCGATTTCTCGGTAGGTAGAAACACGGAGTCTAGAATTGTGCCCACTTTATGGCAATACTTACTTCTTATTATATGAACCTCATGACAACTGGTGGAAGGTAGTAAAAATATGTGCCATGATTTCTACCTTCAAGGACAAATGGCATATGGTATTTTAATATTATCAGGCCTTTTCACTGTAAAATACAGGTAGAGTGTGTATAAATGTTTATGTAATCTTTGTATATCATTTAAAAGGAAGCAAAGAATTGCCATACGTTGAACACAATTCCAAATAACATACCTATAATTCTGGGATTGCGGGACAACCGCAATAATGTATCATGGCCCCGGGATGCGGCAGAGAAGGAACAGGGAGGTTTTTAGTCACTAAGAATCAAACACTTTCTTTTGCCGCATCCAGAGTGAAAAAGGTCGTTTGATTATATATGTACAGCAAGAAGATAGCATGACTTTAGAATCTCATTTAAAAGCCAAAAAGATTTCTGTACAAAGAATAAAAATTATCATTTTTACATTACTCTTATAGGAAATAACAGGCATAGGCTTGTGTACATATGTATGTAAAAATATAACACCTTCTATTCCGTATTTCACGTTTAACCCTTTCTTACATTTTTGCTTCCAGATTTTTACCCGTCGCAGACGCTATCACCGCCGGTGTCATCGAACCTCGTTCGACGAAACAATACCCCTAACTCGCTCCAGTATATAGACGTTCAATAAATAATGTATTTTTGTAAACATGTCTTTGTTTTCTATGACCTGCTTGAACTTGGATAAGTTCACCTTGCTTATTTCACTTAGATAAGCCATGAATATGGAATAAGGACCCAACTTCGTAGAATCAAATACTTAACAGGTATTTATTAATAAAAAAAATATTATTAAAAAAACAAAATACCCGACTGCACACTAAAAAAAGAGTAAAACAAGCCCCACAATACAAATTTACTGAATATAATTTATAAATGTTGATGGAAAGCATCGCAGGCGGGGACCAACAGAGGCTTATTTATAGTCATTTCTGCTGTGCACCATTTAGCAGAATTTTCGTTGGTGGCGGTCAAGGTGGTCCCCGCCTGCGATGCTTTCCATCAACATTTATAAATTATATTCAGTAAATTTGTATTGTGGGGCTTGTTTTACTCTTTTTTTAGTGTGCAGTCGGGTATTTTGTTTTTTTAATAATATTTTTTTTATTTATAACTTTTTAGCTGTTTTTATGTAACGAAAATGTTGTAGATGTAGAAGACTATGTATATGTAAGTACCATTTTAAATTATTTCGACGACATTTGGCTTTAGATTACGAGTGATGTTACTCCGCAACATAAATTTACCGCCAATCTGGACTGTTGGTAGTGAAGAAGAAAAAGAATTAGGTGAGTCATTACTGCTGAAGATCCCGCAAACGTTTAAGTTCAGTTAAAGAACATTCGTCGTGGGGCCGGTCCAACAGCTTTTTTGGGTCAAGTGTTTTTATTGCTAACCCAGCAAGTGTTTTAACACGGCTTAGGGCTACATAAGCCTGGCCCTTTGCAAACACGTTTGATAGGTCCACGACAGCCCGATCCAAGGTGGTACCTTGCAGTTTGTGTACCGTTACAGCCCAACAAAGTATCAAAGGCAGCATCCGACGTTCAATCTTCCCTTGTCCGCGAAGCGCATCAAAGTCGACATTAAGGGCTCTATGCGAACCCCCCCACACCCAATTCATTGCCCTTAACAGAACGATCGTCGAACTCTACGAATACTGCCTGCGGTAACTCACCTGGTTCTAACTGCTCTCTGCGAAGAGAAGGCCACTCAAATCTTCTTATGATACCCATAGCACCGTTCACCAGACCGTGGTTTACATTGATGTTGCGGCGTAACATCACGCGAGATCCAATTCCAATAGTTAGTGTGCCGAGAATGCCCCCTGTTTTGTTCGGGTCGTCAGAAATGTATTGTTTGCGAGGGCACTGACCGTAGGTTTTAGCTTCTAGGGAGATGTCAACAGCGTTTATTTGGTAGAGCTTTAACGATTTGCCCAACTTTTTAGTCATGGCTGAATTATAAGCATCGACTTGTTTCGTAGTAGGGAAAATTCGAACTGCCTCTCCATCGGCAAATGGACCCTCTAGTGGAATTCTGCGGCTGTCCAGGATCTCAAGTTGGTCCATCGTTAACTCACCAACACGAATATTATTGAGAATGTCCACAAAGGTATTGTCTCCTGCCTGTCTCATATTCTGTGGCAATTCACAAAAGCTGAACAATTGCCACAGATTTGTTTCACCAGTTAAGTTCGACGGCTGTCGGGAGCAGTAAGAACCACCGGTGATTCTGGAAACTGGTGGTAACTGCATGAGATCTCCAAACAAAATTACATTGATACCACCAAAGTTCCCTTGATCCTGTTTTAGTTGCTGGAGGCGAATGTGAATGTTTCGCAGTGTTAAGTAGGGCACCATTGATATTTCATCGATGATGAGCCAATTTATATGCCTCCACTTTTGTCGCTCCCTTTGCAGCCTTTCACCTGTTAGTGGGCGTAATGTTTCATTTCTTCCCTTTTCAAGTTGCTTTGCGTTGACGCAGAATTAACATGTTCCCGTGGGAATTTTGAGAAAAAACGTATCCTATATAAATTACTCCCGTGATTGAAATGAATCTAATGATACCGCATACATATTTTTTTAAAAGGAAATTTAGAAAAAATATTATTATGTCTTTATCCCGTGGGACTTTTAGGATAAAATGTATCCTATGACACTCCCGTAATCAAGACAAATCTAACGATACCTCATACATCAAAATCCATCAAGCCGTTAAGGCTACAGGAGGTCACAAAGGAAAAGACATACATACATACTTACATACACTCGAAAAACATTACCCTCCTTCTTTGGCAGTCGGGTAAAAAACTTTGATTTGGAATAGATACTAGGGCAAGCATTGATTGGATTTGGCTATCTAAAAATTCAATGTAAGAAAGGTTTTGTTTTTGGGCAAAGTTTTTAAATTTGGATTATTGGGACAAATGAAAATCATATGACAGAACAACAAAGGTAAACGAAAGATAATATTTGAAGGTTAAAGTATTTATATTAACATTCCTTTTTGTGTGAGTAAGATGCCATAATCGTTTAGTACCTTTCTAGAAATAACATTATAAGGTCTATTGATATGATTGCGGGTGCAAACGCAATGGACCATGGCCTGGAAGGAACGGGATAGTGTTTAGTCAGGAAGAATCTGAGACACTCCCTCTTGCCCCACCCAACGTTGTAGAAGCCATTTGACGAATTCTCCATGAAAAAAACTTAATTTATATAAGTAATTTATTTAAAAACTAGCATTCCTGTACAGTACTATGTTAGTATTCATCATCATCATGATCATCATCTTCAGCCGGAAGACGTCCACTGCTGGACAAAGGCCTCCCCTTACAAAGGCTAATGATATGTCAGTATTAAAATATAAGAATACATCATAATTTTAAGAGTCTTCAGAAGTTCAAATTGATTTAAAAGGTTTATTAGTTTATTTACAAAAACACATTATAAATATAATTTATAATTATATCTATGCATGTATATAGTAAGAAGGGATATTCTCTAACGACGTGATTCTCTATCATTTTTCAAATCTCATATTCCCAAATCCTTTTGTACAAGATTTTCTTTCCCCGACAATTTGTGGGCACAAAGCCAAAATATTCACCTACAGCAAAGCTTATGCCATTCAAATGCATAGGTTTAAAAATTAATAAAACTAGATGTATAGTTAAAAGCATCAAATTTTCGTATTGATATAAGGATCTGGTTTTTTTTGTATATAATATTATAAGCATGTGGTAGCCCGGAGATTAAGGTGTTTGCCTCACAAGTTTTAAAGCGTGAGCTCGAAACCTGCCACCACCAATGTGACTTCTTTCGAACTATGATCCCAATTATTGGCCCCACCCACCGCCTTCATCCATAACCATTACCTCCAACCCCATTCCTGAACTCCCAAACAACTATGTTGAGGGTCCCATGGGCGAAGTCGATTGCTTACCATTAGGTACGCCCATGCACATTTGCCACATTAACCCTTAAAAAAGAATGTTATTTCCTCCAAACTACAGGAAGGTCAAAATTAAGCTGGAACAGTGGTCAGGACTCATCGTTTGTAAACTTGAAGATAAACCCAATAACCATTAATATCCAATAATCAACAACTCAAAACCCAATAATCATTAGAGATGAGATGGTGAATAGTTTTACCAAAGTATCTGTCGCGGGTCCGAACCACTCTACTCAAGCCACTATCAAAGTTTTTTTTTGAAATATTATGTATTTGCGTTCACCCGCGGCTTTGCGCGCGTATAAAAGGGTTTTCCACAGGATTTATAAAAAAGCAGCGTAAGTATAAAGCGATAGCTCGACTACTTATAGTTTATAGCCTATAACACTGAGGAACAGCTTTGTAGCCGATTCGCAGTTCCAAAGATTGACAGCATGGAATCAAAAAATTTTTACTCCTTTATAATATTAATGTACCCTACGTAATACGCATTTGTTCAATTTCAATTTTAACTGATTACAAGAACTACTTAAAATTAACATCATAATCTGTCAGTTCTAATGTGTTAATGTAGAATATGTATATCTAAATACAAAACAAGACAAGTTTAATCTCAAAATAAACAAAATGTATAACAATTCAACTTCTGTAAGCCCCCATGGCAATAAGACACATATTTTTGCACCTACAATTTGCTTTTTAAACAAAATGTTGACTTACACTAAGATTGTAGTACTATATTAGCAAAAAAATATGTGTAAAAATCTGTTGTGTTTCATATCCTGCAAATTCGCTAACAGTACAAGGTCTATAGTTTAATGACTGGATCAAAAACTACAATTCTTATTTTTTTTTTTTTTGATTGTTGTAAGAATCTGTGACTGTCCTCTTCAATTGGCCGTGGGATACTGGATTCTATATTTAAAAATGTGTGAAAATCAATTTGAAAGTAAATAATTGTGTAAAACTTAAGAAAAAAAAACTTCTTCCCTTAGATAGGTAGATACCAAATGACAAACACTGTTGTTTTCTAAGAATGAATCATAATTCGAAAAACAATTATAAAGAAACACAACAGATAAAACAAATTATAACGAGGCAAACAAATAAACATCAATAAAAATATTAAAGATATCAAGGAAACGATCCCTTTTAAATATAAATCAATCACGCCAGCATTATAAATAATAATTACTACGTAGTTGTTATACTTAATCCTAAATACACAATTACAATACGGAAAACTAGAGAGAGACATCTTGGTTATGATAGTTTTTTTTGTCAGGGGAAAATCATGTAATGATTTCTTCCGCCCAGGGTAAGGCGAGAGAGCTTGTTACACTCTTACTTTTTAGGTCAGCAAACGAGCAGATGGTTTACCTGATGGTAAGCAATCAGCGCCGCCCATGGACACCCGCAACGGAGGAGTTACGAGTGCGTTGCCGACCTTTTAGGGATTAGGGATTTGGAGGTTTAGGGATTGAGGATGGATTGGGGGAGGGGAAGGATTGGGCCTCCGGTAACGTCATCCACACGGCGAAACACAACGCTGTGGTTGTTTCACGCCGGTTTTCTGTGAGGCCGTGGTATCACTCCGGCCGAGCCGATCCATTCGTGCCGAAGCATGTCTCTCCCACACTTAAAACCCCCCGTTATTTCTCCTGCTCTGAG